TATGTATATGTATACGTATGTATATGTATATGTATGTATATGTATGTATATGTATATGTATGTATATGTATGTCTATGTATATGTATGTATATGTATATGTATGTATATGTATATGTATGTATGTGTATGTATATGTATGTGTATGTATATGTATGTGTATGTATATGTATGTGTATGTATATGTATGTGTATGTATATGTATGTGTATGTATATGTATGTGTATGTATATGTATGTATATGTATATGTATGTATATGTATATGTATGTATATGTATATGTATATGTATGTATATGTATATGTATGTGTATGTATGTGTATGTATGTATATGTATGTATATGTATGTATATGTATCTATGTGTATATGTATGTGTATATGTATATGTATATGTATATGTATATGTATATGTATATGTATATGCATATGTATATGCATATGCATATGTATATGCATATGCATATATATATATATATATATATATATATATATATATATATATATATATATATATATATATATATATATATATATATATATATATATATATATATATATATATATATATATATATATATATTAGCAGCTTCAGGTTAACATGTAAAGTACTATCTTATTATAACCTGATCTGAGTGGATGTATGAAGTATGACATTCACAGTCCTAGAGGCTCTGCATACTGGTGATTCATTCTTTCCCAGGAGGTTCCTTAATAACACAAAACTGTTTGTATTGCCCCACCCTTCCCTGTACAGCGCATGTCTGCTTAGTCTTCTAGTAACCCCTTTATTTGTGGGATAGGTTTATAGACCACTGTAAGATTGTTTACTTTCTTTAACAACCCAGTGACTGGTTACCAACACTGCCCCGCATTGAAGGCAGAGGGTTTTCAGTGTGTAGATCAGCTTATCTTTTATACATTAATTTTACATCAGATGAAAAGTCTGGCCTGAGGCTTTGAAGAGGATTCATTTCCCAAGAGAGAATTGTTTGCTGCAGAATTTTTGGGAAATTCCATCTCAAATACTGTACTTACACTGGTTATCAAATACTGTGTACAGTACAGTACCTGCAATTTGTATAAGGTTTATTAGGCATTTCTTTATGTTCATTGTCAAAATGTTTTATTTCCTTCCGAGGTTTTGAAAGGCATCTATATTACTGTAGATGGGGTCATTCAGTAGAAAAATTTGGGGTCATTTCCACAATAATGCAAAATAATTAACATATCCAGTGTATTGTCATATGTTGGTATGCCTGCTTCCCATACCGTTTACAATAAACTGTATTCAAATACTGTGTACACAACATGTGTATTTATAAGATATGTGCAGGAATAATGCTTAAATCAGACTCAACATTGGTGTACTTCACTGATCAGAAGAGAAGCTGTGTTTACATTGTAGTATATCTCACATTAAGATGAAGTGACTAACAGGTGGTCATAATAACCATAGTTGTCTCACATATTTATAATGACAATTAAGTGGTTAATAATGACTTGTAACTGGTAAGTGCTTAGATGGTGCCAAGTGACTCACAGATCTTCTTTATGTCCCCAAGTAAATTATAGGTTCTTTTAATAATGCCCAATGTTCATAATGAGAGGTGCTGAGGATGATGCCAGTTGCTCATTATAACACCATTTAATCTTAATGATTCCATATAACTTGTAGGTGATTCTAATGATACCAGGTGGCTTACAAGTGCTCATAATGATGCAGAATTGTTCATAAGGTCACCAAGTGACTCACAAGTACTCGCAATAGCACTTGGTAACTCAGTCATTTCTATTGGTGCTCATAATGACCCCCAGGTGAATGTCAGCCGCTCACCGCACACTACTAGTGAATACAGTAGTATAATGACACCACATTTAGGGAGATAAACCATTCATGTGATGTCTTTAGTTTACAATGTTACTTGGAATCCAGATTGAAAACCAAATGTTTCATATTTTTATTATTACTCTATTCTGTAAATGTATTTTAACAGAACTTCAGTTTGTTGTTGTTGCAAGAACAATTATTTTTTGCAACTAAGTAAATTTTCATTTCATGGCAGACACATATCCATTTACATTGAAAGTACTTTTGTTCTTGTGATCCGGTGATTCTTGCTGCTTAACTTTACCCTCAGTGGCTTGTACTGTGTACTGCTCATGGTTATCTTATTCACATGAATTCTTTCTCATTTGTCACAGTTGTAGTTAGGAATCTTCCTTATTTTTGGCATTTGCTGTCATGTAAAAAGATGAGTAGCTCTTCACTTGTGCTGTGCAAGGTAGCCAAGGACAGAGTTGTTTAGTGGATATCACTAATATTTGTTAATAGGTCTCCAGCAGTGTTCGTTAAAGAAATATGCAAACATCAAAGAAACGGAAAGATATGTCAAGATTACATAAAGGAAAGTAGGAAAAATTAGCCCATATAATAATTTTTTCTTGTTTTATATAACCTGACAATGTCAGTGATGTGCTGCAATTGCTGTTTTCAGTGCACTGTCCAGTATAGTGTACACTCTACTAATCTTCAGCCAGAGAACTAGTAAGAACTGCTCAACTATAATCTAATGTGATAATGTAAGGAGTAATTACTTTCAAGTCCTGCTATTGCTGCAACATACTTGCTTACCTGTACATAATATGATGATTTTGCTTTGTCAGAGCTTGTATGTGTGGATTTCAGTTTATATCTGTTATGTTCCATCATGTCTGACAGAAATTCAACACAGTACTCGGATATGTTTGATGACAATGAGTGATGTCATACCTCTCTCTCTCTTTTTTGTCACATATGCTTAATTTTCTGTGTGTATATTTATCAGTCTTTACTTAATTTGCAGCTTCATTGGCTGGAATAGTAACAGAGATGTGTTTTTAATAAGTCAAGCTTTTTTCAGACAACTTTCATACTGAAAATTTTCTGAGATAAATTGAGAGTACAGTACTGTAGTTGGAAACTGAAGTACTGTAGTGGGTGGTTGATTTAATTCATTGGTAACTCTTTACTCCTCAACATTTGGTTAAATTTTTAATTATTAACCCCCTACGCCCCAGGCTAGGGTGCCGCTGGCCGTATCCCCCACATGAGGTAAATCGAGAAAAATCAACTTTTCCAAAAATATTTTTTAACATTTTTAAATGATAAAACATTAAAAAAGAAGTAAGAAAAACTATATATTAACCCTCTAGAAACTTCCCTGTGGCAGAAGTGGCGTGGGAGATAAGGGGACAGTGTTGTTTTGACGGCTAGCACTCGTGGTCACTACGCACTTAGCGGCCATTTTTTGCTTGCCATTGTGTCCGGGATGGCCAGTAATGCATATATTTACTGATCATAATACTTATTTCCTATAATATAAATAATTCAATTAGAATATTTTATTTGCATTATTTTTCATAAAAAGTGCTCGGTGACACACACGCAGTCTGTCGCCAGGCTGTCTTTGTGTTTGGTAGAGCAAGTAATGCATATAAATAATTATCGGAATAATAATTCCACAAATAAATACATTTAAACTTAATCATAGATTATTTTCCAGTAATACTACACTACAATACAACTACAGTGGTCCCTCAATTAATGAACACAATTGGTTCCACAGAGTCGGTTGTTTACCGAAAATTTTGTTTACTGAATCTATTATTTCAGTGGGATATTGAGTAATTGGTTCCAACTTACAGAAAAAGTACATACAAAGTACTGTACAGGGTATACCGGTAATAAAATTAACAAAACATTAAATATAAACTAAATAGAGTACAGTCGACCCTCGTTAATTCGGCCTAATAGGGGGGGGGAAGGGTGTCCGTTTTAGCCGATTGTCCGAATTAACCGATTTAGGGGTTAATATTGCATTATATTTCAAAGTCATTGTTTTCGTCACGATTTTATCCCACTTGCCACTGTAATACGTACGTAATTTCAGCAAAAATATTACATTTCCGTGAATGTATTATATCAAGCACAGTATGAATAGAATATCATTGTAATATAACACTATTTTAACCGAAAATTATTAAAAAACGAATAACATCTCAAGAACATCGGAAGCTTAGGTAAAGTCTTTTGTTTTCGTCATGTATTTTATCCTATTTTACATTGAAATACATCATGTTTCAGCAAAACTACTATTTATTTCCGAGAATATATTCATTCTTTTCCAGTTTAGGTAAAATATACGTGTGATGTAACAGTTTTTTAACTGAAAACGATTCGAAAAACATGTACCCTCTAGCCCTGTTCAAGGAGAGGACTGGGAGAAGCTGTGTGGTGCTGCAGACGATGACAAGGAAAGTGATTTTGATGGATTTTAATGAAAATATTCAGAAATATGGTATCTTAGTATTTATTCAAGTCAATTAGGATAGAATATTATTGTAATACAACAGTTTTTTAACTGAAAACCAATCAAAAGGCGATTACGGTAACATCTTTTGAACGAAAGAAAGCGAAAGTCATTGTTTTCGTCACTATTTTATCCCACTTTCCACTGTAATACATACGTCATTTCAGCAAAAATATTACATTTCCGTGAATGCATTATATCAAGCACAGTATGAATAGAATACCATTGTAATATAACAGTATTTTAACCAAAAACTAATAAAAAAACGAGTAACTTCTCTTGAACATCGAAAGGTTAGGTAAAATCTTTTGTTTTCGTCATGTATTTTATCCTATTTTACATTAAAATACGTCACGTTTCAGCAAAACTACTATTTATTTCCAAGAAAATATTCATTTAGGCACAGTTAAGGTAAAATATACATGTGATGTAACAGTTTTTTAACTGAAAACTTTCGAAAAACACGAGTACCGTCTAGCTGATACAGCTGGTGGTGCGTGATGCGTCGTTGCAAACAATAGGAGGTTGAAGTTGATTACCGGGTATTATATTAAGTGTGAAATATCGAAAAGGTTTTTATTACCGGTATTTTTTGTAGATCAATGAGAACTGTGATACCGTATATGATATGATAAGTTAGCCTGTGCTAAGAACTTCAACATAGTCTACTGAAAGCACGTTGTAAGGTAATTTAGCTTATTGTAAGTTGGTGAGCTTCATTTACTGAAGGAACTGCACAACTTTTCATTACTAATTGGTACATATTTTATGTTTCCATTGTTTACTGGCAGTAAATGGTAAATATTTTTCATGTCTGAAGCTAAAAGTTGCTGCTCGCCCTTCCCATCATGCACGGGTTCAACCTAACAAAACTATTATGCATGTATAGGACGACCCCCAATTTTTTGTCTAAAAATTTGGTCTTAAAAACTCGAACTATACACGAGTATATACGGTATATCGAGCCAAAAATATTAGTTGAAAAACTTTATGTTGACAGAGCTTGGATGGCTAAATTTTAGAATGACCAATAATTTTAATATAAAAAATACAAAAATATTCAAGAACACAACTTTCTTGATATTTACTCCACTGGAAACGAATGTAAACATAGAACCGATTACTGAATTGGCAGACTAGCCGATCAGCTGATGCTCACAACAAAGTGTGTTTCTCCTAAGGCTTTCGTTAATCGAAGTTTTGTTCGTTAATGGAACTGAAAATCCTTATGGGAGCTAATTCGTTAACCGAAATTTCGTTAATTAAACCGTTCGTTAATCAAGGGACCACTGTATATACTTTTATAAAACTTCAAGAGTCAAACAGTGGTGAAGAAGAATGCATTAATAATAACAGACACAACCCATCAGTGAAGTAAGTTATGTTGTAACTTAGATTATTTGTTGCAAGTGAATCTGAAGTGATTGCGAGTCAAAACATCTTGCATTATAAAGAATGGCTGAAGTTTATATAAGGTATTCTGGCGGCATAAAATATAACGTTGTGTTTCAACCCTAATAGATGCAACATATTTAGACGCTTTCATACAATGAAGTACGGGGTCGCATTCTCAAAAGCATATACGGGACTATATCTCTTTGTTTACCCCGTAACTGGAGTTACAGTCTCCGATCGGTATTCTCAAAACAAATATTTGTCACAGGACTCTGTAAGTGAGTCCGTGTTCGAGGCCGTAACTTACAGGACCTCGTGAGCTGCTGTAACATGGACAACCCGGATATAGGAAGTCGCTATTTCCTGATTGCATAACAAAAATTAATAATTTGTGTTGTAATAATGCTTGTTAGACTTGGTTTATCATCGAATAATGAAGATAATGTTTTGTACATCAACATACTAAAATACTGTACAATATTACAGTTTGTCTTTTTAGTTCATTTTTTACGATAAGAAGAGACCTGAGAGTTTCTACCTGTCGAGGACTGGAAGAAACGAAGATTTTTTTTGTCTTCTTAAAACTTTTCAAGAAATTTGTTCAAAAATAGAAGATTTGTATTGTCCTTATTTATGGTACAAATATTATTTTATGCCTGAGTAAACTTGCAGATAGACCTTGTTAATGTGGTATAGACATAGATATCAGTCAGTAAGATACATTTCACTAATTTTGCGGCCAAAAAAAGAGCATGACTACTGATTGTATTACCGGGATAAGCAAAAAAAAACAATGAAAATTACTTTTTGTAAGAGAAAATGTGATGCAATTTTACCTCTCTCTCTCTGTCTGTCTGTCTGTCTGTCTGTCTGTCTGTCTGTCTGTCTGTCTCTTTCTCTCTCTTTCTCTTTCAGGTATACAGTATATATATATATATATATATATATATATATATATATATATATATATATATATATATATATATATATATATATATATATATATATATATATATATATATATATATATATATATATATACATATATATACATATATATATATGTAGTCCCCGACTTACGTCAATCCGCACTTACGACCTGCTCTGACCGTACGTCCGTCGGGACATACGACCGCCGCAGTCGTGACCAAAAATTTTTTCAAATGACGCGCGCATTTTCTATACCGAAACGTTTCCGTCCCGGGCGAGAGGGAGGCATGGCTTGGGTCGCCTCGTGGGTACACTCACTCAGTGGAGCGCTTTGTTGGTGTTTGGCTATCATATCCTATACTGATCGCGCTGTGAACTTTCGTTATTATCGTATTTAATTGACTTTATAATGACTGGAAAGCGTACAAGTGAGAGTGCTGGTGGTGCTCCAAAGAAAAGGAGACAGGCAATTACTTTTGAGATGAAAATGAAGATAATAACACAGTATGAGAATGGAAAAACTGTAGCAACAATCTCACGTGACCTAGGTTTCTCACACTCGACCATATCCACTATTCTGAAGGACAAGGAACGCATTCATGATGTAGTGAAAGGAACAACACCTATAAAGAGAACTATAATTTAGAAGAAAAGACAAGGTCCTATTCACGTTATCAAAAAATTATTGGTGATATGGATAGAAGACCAGATAAAGAGGCGTGTACCCTTAAACCTTCTAACCTTACAGGCTAAAGCAAGAAGCCTGTTCCAAAGCCTGAAGGAGCAGGCAGGAGATGAATGTGAGCAAACCTTTACAGCAAGTCATGGGTGGTTTAATAGATTTAAAAAACACTACAGTCTACACAATGTTAAAGTGAGTAGAGAGGCAGCTAGTGCTGATGTTGG